ATAAAAAAATATTATGTCAATATTTTGAATAACCATTTAGCTAGTCAAAATCTTCAAAAATAAATAATTATGATTTTTTTTACTTAAATGAATAAATTATGCTATGATTGGTTAATTGACTTTATTCAAATTTTTATTTGTTTTAAAAAAAATTTATATTAATTTTAATTAAAGTATCCAATATGTTGAGGTTTTTATGTATTCATTCTATGTTATTTTAATATTAGCAATTAAGTAAATTTTCATGTCATTTTTTATAATTCCATTAATTTTTATTATAAGATTGATTATACTTTATTTCTAGATTCATGGATATGTCTAGTGTTGCGTAATTGGCTAAAAACTACGGCTAAGCCTAAAAATCGGCTAAACCTAATAAGACTAAGCCTAAAAATCGGCTAAACCTAATAAGGCGTCTAAAAATGAAATTAGTTAAAACCTAGCATTAATTATTATTTATTTATTTTAGTAAAATAATCTATTTTATTTATATTTAATGTAAATATTTTATTATTAACAAATAAACATGATATGATTTAATATTTTTTATTTATATTATTATATTTTGAAATGAAAATAAATTTATTTATTTGATGTTTTTTTTAATAAAAAAAATAATATGCTGCTATTGTAAAAGTAATATATTCTTTTTAATACAATTTATTAGTGATTTTATCTTTTATTGAGGAAATATATTGTAAATTTTATTAGATATAAACAATCTTTTAGGTGAAATCTTATATAATTTTTTTTTATCATTTTTTTAAAATTATCTATTTTTTTATTAAATGAGGGGGTTTTTTCTAAATAATTTTATTGATAAATTACTTATTTATATAATAAATAATAACATAAACTATTTACATAATTAGTAATAAACAAATATATTATTAAATTTGAAATTAATATTTAAAATTAATATATCGAAGATTTCTTTTTAGAAATACCAAAATTTCCAATTTATCAGAAATCAGTCTGCGGTGATGAGGACTGTCAATATCACTAGCATCACTAAAAACACATTCTGAAGATTATTGAACACTTTTTTAAACAGAATGCGAAAAAAAAATAACTATATGGCAGAATGTTTATTAACTAATTATTACTATTAAAATAATTCAACATAAAAATGGATTTCAATTTTATTTATAAAAATAGATGGTTTTTTAGATATAACTTATTCTAAAAAAATTTATAATATTTTATTTTTGTTAAAAACGCCACTTTTTATCTGATCGGATCGGAAAATTTTATAATATTTGCCGATAACCGATATTTTAAAATGGGTGAAATATCGTCCCGATCCTATCCGATATAAAATATCGGTACAACCCTAGTTATTTTTGAATTTTTTTGACGAATAGGTTAAAATAGGTATTGATAACATATTTAACATAAAACAACATTTAAAAAATCCTGGACGGGCCAGCCCTGAATATATAAAGTACAGACTAAAAATCCCGGCCAGGCTTATTTTTTTTTTGAAAATAAGAGCCGGGACGAAATTTTTCTATTGGCAGCATATTATTTTTTTTATTAAAAAACATCAAATAAATAAATTTATTTTCATTTCAAAATATAATAATATAAAAAAAAAATATTAAATCATATCATGTTTATTTGTTAATAATAAAATATTTACATTAAATAAAAATAAATAAATAAATAATAATTAATGCTAGGCATCTATGCAGAATTTTTGACTAATTTCATTTTTAGCCGATTACGCAACACTAGATATGTCAGAGCATGATAATGGTAAATACATTCCAACATTGTCATTAGAATATTTTAAGAAACTAATTTATCAAACTGTAAGGCATATAACTAGTACTAGAAATTTTAAATACAACAAGAGAAAGGTATTCTTTTAGATTTCATTATCTATGAAGGAAAGGGAAGTTCTACTGAATCCATTTTATACCCAACTCCTGATAAAATTAATGTTGGAGTTAGAATGACCTATCTTTGAGTATTCAGGGAGACAGTTCAATTGATGTAATGCCAGACAGTGACATTCGCATCACCAAATGCTTTGATAATAGGGCAGTATACATGACCTCCAATATTTATAGATCAAAACTATTTGATTTGTCAGCAATGGTCAAAAGAAAAGTTATATTATGGTCAGTCATCAATATTATTGTATCTTGAATTATGATAAAAATATGGGTGGAGTTGATAATTTGGATAGAGTTATTTTAAATTACTCAGTTAAAAGTTGAACAAAAACATGGACCATTCAGTTTTTGTTTACTTCATTGATTTTTTGGATGTAGCAGAGTGGCTAGAATATAAAAAAGATAGAACTTAGGCATGACATTTTAAAAAGGATATGATGGATTATTATCAGTTTAAAATTGAATTGGCAGAATATTTAATTCATGATTATATTCGATGAATCTTCAAGTTCAGAGAGTGATGGCGAGATAAACCTAAAAGGAGAGCAGTGGTTGCAATATCTAACCTGCCTTCTGTGAAAGAAAAGATTCTTCATTTACCAATAGTAGATGATCAATAATAGTCCAGATCCAAACACAGACTCAATACCTGTAATAGTAATAGATTATCATTTATTAAATGTAAATAATGTGATAGTCATATTTTTTATGTATTAATAATATTCGAAATTGTTTTTTTATTTTTATAATAATTAATATTCTATTGATTAACTCTCATAGTATCATATAGGATACACCTTATATAATTTTTGCTATATAAATAAAAAGGCCTATTTTAGAACATAACTTTGATAATTTAATAAATTTTTTGAAAAAATAATTAATCGTTTTATCTCAAGTTTGAGTGGGATATATAATAGTTTATGTATTTATACTTTTCCTTTTATATTTTACTTTCTATTTCAATAATTAAAAGTATTTTATATAACAATAATATGAGCATTTTAGAAAAAAGGTGATATTTGAAATTAGATAAATATTATATGAAACATTGTAAATTATTTTTTCTATATAATTTTTGTGTATTTGTTTTCCAGTTAGGCCCACTAATTTTTTATGTGAATTGCCGAACCTGTTATAAATTTTTAAAGACATTGCCTGGTCCATCAGCTGGGTTTTGAAGTTTTACGCGCTGAAATATAAATATAACAATAATATATTTTTTGACTTGTATTAAACTAATTGCAAAATTGGGGCCTAAAAGATAAATAAAATTTACTATACTAGCTTTATGTGTAAGTGGGATATTATTTTGTTATTTTAGGCATTCTTCATATATAAAGACAATGAAGAAGATATTTATTTATAAAGTAACTAGTTTTGTCGTTATATTTCAAAAATATAATTAGTTACATTTAGAGCCATGCAAAATCAATTTTTTCGCTTCGTCACAGCCCAAAATCTTTATTAATTTTAAGTCCTACCTAAAAAATTTATTTATTTTTGATCCTGGCCTTAATCTAAGATCACTAACTTCCTTATAAATTATCATTTTATTTTGATAAAACAAGAGGAAAACATTAATATCTAAATTTATTTAACAAATTTTCAAGCCAAACTGATTTAAGGAAAAGAAGTTCGAGCCCTTTTAATTTTTAGTCTACCAAGTTTTGGATCATCTTGTTGGGCTCTAATTACAGTTAAACTAGTTGAAGTTACCTTAACAATAATACCAAAAAAATATTCAAAAACAACTAAAAAGTTTACGTTTTTGAATGCCTGTAATTAATAGCAAAAAAGTATTACTTTATCAATGGTCTTATTATTTCAAACTTCAAACTAGATCCTTCAGACCTGCTTTTCTTTTAGGTCTGATTTTAGAAAAAATTTATGAACTATTACAATGATATAAATATCGGATCTTGTCCAAAATAAGTTTTTAATTTAAGAGCAAGATCCAGCAAAGCCCGAGAGAAAATATGTTCAACTGACCTGAGTTGATTAAATTAAAAGGGGGCACTGATAGGTCTCATATATGCCTCTTTATTTTATTGTAACATCGACACAGATCATTTAAATATGACTGTCCTATGAATTATATTGAATAGGGGTGTACCGATACCACCTTTTGGAGATCCAATCCGATATCATATCTAATTTTGTATTCTGTAGAGATACCAATGGTTTTAATTTTAATATAATTTTTATTAGTATAACATCTATAATTTAACTATACCATAACTTATGTGATTTAAATATATTATAATGATCAGTTATAGTTTATATTCAATTCAATTGCAATTCTAAAAGTATATAATATTTTTTATTGTTAAATCACTTATATAATAAGTAATTACTTTAATCTATATAAATAATAAGTAATGAACAAATATATTTTGAAATTTGAGATAATATTTTACATTAATATATCGAAGATTTCTTTTTAGAAATACCAAAATTTCCAATTTATCAGAGGTCAGACTGCGGCGATGGTAACTGTCAATATCACCAGTTTCACTAAAAACAGATTCTGAAGAGATTATCGCACACTTTTTTAAACAGAATGCGCAAAAAAATAACAATATGGCAGAATGTTTATTAATTAATTATTATTAAAAAAATATACATAAAAATGGATTTCGATTTTATTTATAAAAATAAATGTTTTTAGACAACTTTTTTTAAAAATTTTATAACATTTTATTTTTGTTAAAGACGCTATTCTATATCTAATCGGATCGGCAAATTTTATAATATTGGCCTATAACCGATATTTTAAAATGGGTGAAATAACGGCCCGATCCGATTCAATAAAAATATCGGTACATCCCTAATATTGATGCTTCACCTACATTTTAAGTTCTAAATATAAGTTGTCAAATAAAATAAAAATCAGAACCACCGAACCGTTTTTAAAAAAATCATAAAAAATGGAACCAGCACCAACTTTTTCAAAATATTTGGAACTGAAGACAACCCTTTTTTAGTTCAAGTTCCAAACTCGTGATGATAAATATGTCATAATATGTGTAGTATATAGGGAAAAATAGCGCTCAATTACATATCCGTAAATCAAATGAATATTAAACATTTGAGTAGATCCATCACCATGGCAAGATTCGGAAAAATCTTCTACCAATACAAACAGGGAATACCAAAAGGACCCGTTTGAGCACGATTATGACGAACATAAGCCAATTTCAAACAAAGATGATAAGATCGAAAAACCTAACACCTTTCACAGCAAAAAGTCTGATGACAAAATTCCCGAAAATTACAAGTAAAATAAATGTCATAAACCTCGATTATAATGTACATTATACATTGTTACTTCGATAATTTGCCTAGACTATCCAAAAAATCGTACAACACAGTGTATGCCCCACAGCCAAGTAGATTTGATCATAACACCAAGTCGAAAGATTTAATCACTTCCAAAAGGCACAATTACTCTTCAGCCAAGCCAAGTAAAAAAAATTTCTTTTTAAAATAGCTTTAGCTTATTTTTTTATTAAAAGTTTATAGTAATACACTACCTCATCAGCTAACCTTGAAGAACTAATTTTTAAAGTCTTTGAGTTAATCGGATAATCAAAAACAAAGAATGAATGTTGTTAACTGGTTTGAAAGATATTATTTTTAATTTTAACCAAAAAATTATATAAATTAAAAATTAATTCGAGTTTTTGTTCGTTTCCTTAGTTAATGACCTACACCTTAATGAGCTATTTTAACTGCATTGTAATATGAAATGAAACTACTGTTTTTATTAAATTTCAGCTTAAATATTAAAAGCATTTCGCTTTTTTATCATAAAATTTAATTTTGTGGTTGATAGGGTAGTGTGCTACCCACAGTTCAGTATTTTTTGAGAAAAAAAATGATAAAAAAAATATAATTGTATTAGCTGATGAAGCAAATCGTGAATTACACAAGAAACCTGAAGCTAAATATAATCTTTCCTCGACTAATCAACCTATCAAAAAAGCTGATGTTGATTCCTCTAAAAACGTGCAAGATTTAGCATCTAGCAAATTTAAATGGGTATTTGAAGGGGGTAAAATTACAAAGCTATCCATACTAAATGATGATATGAAAGTGAATATGACAAAATCTCAAAAAGTTCTTGGTACCCATATTCCTAAAATGCTTCCTGCTACTTCTGATGATTCTAGTAGCTTATTAGTGGGATCTAAATCACAGAATAATCGAATCGATAATGCTGTAAGTGAAGAAAAGAAAGAGAGTAGCTTGGCAAAATTCAGTCGGGAGTTAAAGGAGGAACGTGAGGCCGCGGAAGCTAGTAAGCTTAAAAAGATTCGGGATATCAAAAAGCATGAAGTTATTAAGGATAATCATTTAAACGATTCAAATTTTGGACCCAGAAAGGGTGTGCAATTTAAACCCTACCCTGGTAACAAGCTTAATCCTTTAAAAAATGATGACCATGACATTAAATCAACTTTGATATCAAAGAAAAACGATAAAGCTATGCCGATCACCTTGAGAACTGATTTAAAAAACTCCTACCATAACTTAAATAAGTATGGATTATCTGATAACACTCTTGGTAAGGTATTACCCAAAACTGGGTATAAAAATTATAGCTACCCCAAACAGGAATCTTTTAAAGGGTGCGAAAATTTACCCAACCATTCGATTTCAAAGTGGAGCAATACTGGTCGATCTGAGAGCCAACAACCCAGCGAATTAGAAGGAGGGGGAAAAATTTGCTCCCCTAACTTCGAATCTGAACCCATGCCCATTGATAACTCATCAACCACTGCTAAAGCTATTGGTCACAAGCAAGACCGTCCCACACGTTTTACTGCTTTTCCCCGTGACCCAAAAAAGACAAACCCTGATTCATCCCTTAGAACAAAAAACTCTCCTGTCAATACCAACATCTCTTGTGCTCTAAGAGCATTACAGCAACCTACAGTGTCCAAAATATCATCCCCACGTAGCTCGATCCGCAGCCCTTCAGGTTGGGGCGGTGATGAGCATGATGAATGGGAAACCGCCTCTGAGAGCAGTGAACGTGCTACTGAACTTCCCGCTGCATCTCGCCACAACCATACCACAACTCGACCAAATTTTTCCGAGCCGCTGCCACCGCAGTTGCGACCACGCCATGAAGATATTCGCGGAGATGAACGGGATCGGCGGGCAGCACCACCCAGCAAGTCGTTCAGTAACGGTCGCGTCAACGGCAGTGGTGGCGGCTATCTGCACTCCCAGCAGCACCCACCAAGACAAAGTCCCAATGACCCAGATAGTCACCTTCCTCTGCATACTAGCGAAAGACGTGGTGATAGTAAGGTTAGAACCACTAAAGATTCTGTTAACAGATTTACTCCAAAATTTGATGATGGACAGCCAGGGAACCGACAAAACGATAAAAAACAATTTCCTGCAAGTTTTAATAAAAAATTGAACTCAAACTTTCAAAATACTGATGGAGGAAAAGCGCAAAAACTTAGCACAAATCAGTATGCTTCTAAATTAGTTAAAAATGTAGCAAGTGGTAATATACTATTTTATTTTATATATGCTTTTAAAATATTTTATAACATTAGGTTATGGTAAAGATTCTTATGCAACAAAAGACAAATATGAATTATCAGATAAAAGTCAGCAAGCACCTATCAAACCATCGCCTGTAAGAAAATAATATTTTATAATAAATAATTTTATATTACTACAGGTTGTTAGTGGTCTTAACAGTAAAACTGATACTGTGAATGTTGATATGTGGCCAAATAATGCAAAATCTAGAAATTCTCAACATGATCCTAACAGTAATATTAAACGTATAATACCATTTATTTTTTATATTGCTTTAATTAAAATTATAGAAAAACTCCAAAAAGATTCAAATTTTCCTACAAATTTTAACGTTTATAAAGTAAGAATATTTATTTTCCCCTCCAAATGAATAATCGTTAATATCAAATTGTTTAAAAAAATATATTTAAGCCTTTTTCCAAAAGCGCCATAGATTCTCCCTCACAACGATTGAATAAACAAATTCAGTACCAACGTGACGCAAATTCAGCAGGCGTCCAATCATTTTCGTCAAACGCTTTTGCCACATCGGGTATGACCTCTCTACCAACCATCACTATGGGTCTATGTATCAAAAATCTAAAAACTTTAAATTGTCATGGAACATCGTTGCCCCCTTCTCATATGCAAGACAAGGCAGAGATGACGCCTATTTCCCCCTCGGCTGCTGATCTTAATTTGCGGATTGCCTCGGTCAAAAAGGTGTGGGACGATTCCGTCAACACCACCGATAATGATAGTAAGTTAAAACTATCTCTTTACCACCATGAAATGGCGAAGTTTAAGGTGGAACCCATGGATATACTCATCCAACATCAAAATGAATACAGATATATAGATTCGAATTGTTATATATCCAGTTCATATGATATGAATATCGGGAGTTGCTCCATATCTTCCTCCATGTCTCCATCATTTACTGAATTTTATAATGTCAAATGTGACAGAGATTTAGTCTTTTCAAAGGAAGATAAATTTTGCCTAAAAAATGATTCTGATGACAAGAATTCTCTTGGATCAAACGTTGCCGCCTCAAACGCCAATAGTAACGTTTGTAAGGTAAAGCCTCATAAACAGCAAAATTTACACTTTTCCTCTGGGAATTCTATAGATAATGCTGAACAATTACCTTCCTCAATTTTTTCATCGGTTGAAGACACTATATCACAAAATGCATTTAATAATATATTTAATCAATTCACCATGCCATTGCCTCTGCCTAATTCTTTGTATCCTCAGGCTCACCCTACCATACCAAACAATCTAACAACTAATCTACTGAGGAACAATTCAATGGCTACCGTTATGGGGATTTATGAAAATTTTTTGAACAGTAGCTCCAATTTAAACATGGGTGGAGCTCCCCATCTCAATGGCAATGCTTCATCGATTGAGAACACCTTAAATCTTAATAATCAACAACAGTTCAACCAAATGATAATGCAAAATTATGTTAATCCAACTGTCCCGACATTATCTACCAATCAACAAATGACACAGCCCTCCATGGCAAACAATATTTTTTCTTATAGGCCCTCTCTTCCTTCTAACCTAGGACCTCCACAACAATACAATCCACTGTACTCCCCCAATCAGCCATTAGCCTCGGCCCTTGCCAAACAATTGCCAGGCAACAATCCTCCACCCAGACTCCCCATCATGCCCCCAAATACGTCCCACATGTTGATCCAGCTCGAACCCTTTACCAACATGATGGATATGGCAGCCATGGCACATCAGCTCCAGCAAAACGGGGGTTCAGTATCAATAACTCAAAATATCATGCCTCGTCAACCCTTTCCCAACCCAACACCACCACCTAACCATGCAGTTACAGTAGCATCCAACACTCTTAATTTGATGAATTATTTTGGCGCTTTTCCTCCCACACCTGTCTCGAACCCCCCAAACGCTCCACCCGTCATGCCAAACATTATCCTAAGCCAAAATCCTAACAACTATGTTGCCGCACTCATCAATCACCAACCACTCTCCCAGCCATCACTTGCTATGCCCCCCACCCCAAATCACAATGTTCAAGCTAGCTTCATAAACCACACTGCCAACCCTAATCCATCCCAACCATTTCCTTCTAACCCACTATACAAATAACTGACTAGGAATAAATAAATCATTTTTTCATCGAATACCTAAGGAATTTACAAATTTGTTAATCAAGCATTATTTTCTAAATCTTGACTAAATTTACCCAGGATCTTGTTTTTCAATAAATTGATGTTAAAATTATTATATCAAAGACAAACCGCTTTTGAATTTTTCAAAATAATTATTTGTTTTATTAGATGTTGATTATTTTGCTACACTTTATGTTAAATGAGCATTGTTTCTTTGTAAATTGTTTTCATTTAATTAATTTATTTTTATAAATCTAAAAATTATAATATGGTTTAATTTTTATTGTGTTTATTATTTATACATCTCGATTTCATTTGAATACAACTTAATCTCAATTATGTATATGTTTTTTAGCTCTATAATTTTGGTTGAAAATTGTTCAATAAAAAAATGTTTTACTATATCGCCAGAATGCTTTCTCGAATTTTAAATTCAATATCCGCCTGAATGAATTAAATTGTGTTTATTTTAAAGTCCATTATTATTCAAATATTAATATAGTTGCCATTTGTATTTAATAATTTTTTTAAATATCTAAATTTATACATTAAGAAAATATTTAGCTTAAATAATGGAAACTTAGAATAAATATTAACCTTAATTGGATAAATCTCTATTACATAAGGGTCATTCCCGTATCAGGTCAATTCAGCGAAACTTTTAACGCGAATGTCGTTTATCGCGAAGGAATTTTATAGCGAAGGTAATATAGCGAAACCAATTCCGCGAAGACAATATCGTGAATTTATTTCCGCGAAACCTTAACCGCGAATACTTTATAGCGAATACATTTTAGCGAAACTTTGATCGCGAACTCGTTATAGCAAATTTATTTCCGCGAATACTTTTTAGCGAAACTTTTATCGCGAACTCTTCATAGCGAATTTATTTTCGCGAATACTTTATAGCGAATACATTTTGGCTAAACTTTGATCGCGAACTCATAATCGCGAATTTATTTCCTCGAAACCTAAACCGCGAATACATTTTAGCGAGCGAAACTTTAATCGCGAACCATTTATAGCGAATTTTCTACCGCGAATGTATTTGTGCGAAATTATTATAGCGAGCGCATGACCGCGAAAATTGTGAATTCATTTTAAGTGAAATTGATATATTCAATATCAATTTACCAACCGAAGTTTCTTAAATCATAAACGTGAATGTTTTAAGAATATTTTATTATATATTGTTTATTTAATAGGCATGTAACCTCTATCTGATGTGATAGAAAATATATTAGTCTTCCTGGTCTCACTCACTCATGGTTGTAAGTATGGAGCGGACATTTTGGGTTAAGTTTTTAGCAGAATAAGTTAACCCCCCCCCAACATAGAATTTAAAAGTGTGCTTTATGTCATTTAAAGTACTTTATTTCTAATCTAGATAAAAAAATATACTGACTAAGAATTTTTTATTTATTTTCTCAGATTATTTTAATTATAGAAAATTTGATAATTAATGCCTCCTAATTACAATTTTGAGATAATGCACATCGATATAACTTTGATATAATAGTAACTAATTCATTTGAATATTATGACCTTTCCTTTTTCTTCTATTCGCATTTTAATAAATAGAAATAACTGCAATGATTAATCAAAAAAAAATTCAAAATATTCTAGATTACATAAATTTGTAATATTTATGAAGAATAAATTATGGAAATAAATCATTAGATTTTCAATTATTTTAGTTTTTTATTTTTGCTGATTTCACAAGTCAAACTAAATAATATAAAAAAAAATTAAAAAACGTAAAATAGTTTTCATCATTTTTTAAAATAATACCAGTTCAATTAATCATAGCGTTTTTGTGAAAACATCGCTAAACGCTTCTACTCAATTTGTAAGCAATTTTACTCATTTTTCTAATAAAATGGAATTAAAAAAATCAGGATTTTTGAAAATAAATAGAAAATGTTCCAAATCAAGAAAATAAAGATATTCCAATATCGGGAAATCAGGGCAAAATGGGTTAAGTGTTTATTTATTTACTTTTACATATTTTACCACGACAAGGGTTGGGGGGGAGGTGTTAAAAACATTTTCTAAATTTTGAGAGGAGTATATAAATGAAGGATAATAAAAAATACTTATAAAAACTGGCTATTGGGTCATTCCATGTCAAATGAGCATAAAAATCAAGATTTTCGGCCGACCCCTTTCAATTTTGATAAAAAGTTGTAGACTGGTTATATATGTTTCCATTAGATTATAAACAAAATTTTAGCGCATTAGCAACTATATTAGCGGAGATAATCGGGGTTAAAGGTCCAAAAAACGCCTTTTTTTCCTTTTTACTGATGTTAAATAATTAATTTTTAATTTAAAACTAATTATGATCTAATATTGAATCTAATATCAATAGCTAAGTTAATAATTGATAATTATGGCGAAAACATCAAAAATAATTTTTTTTTAAATATGGGTCATCTTATGGTCAGTTGAAAATTTGAAATTAATATTTCGAAATGTATATGATCTCCGATTTTTAATTTTTTTAAGAAATATTATCCGTTTACTATTTTTTTAATAATTTCTTTAACAATTAGCATGGCTGGATATTTATTTAAAAAAATATTGCGATTATTATACTTTAAAAAAAATAGATGGCGCTATATATAATAGTTTTAATATGTTAAAATTTATTTTTTTTATTGATTATAAATATTTTAATGTATAATATATCATAAAATTCGATCATATAACTTTGTAAACCTTATTCCCCTGAGATATTCGCAGGATAAAAAATTTTAATAATTTTTTTAATATTTCAATGTAAATTAAAATAATTAAAGAATCGGACTAGCACACGAACAAAAAAGCAGGATTAAAGGGGTGCAGGAAAATTATTAAGGGAAAAATCGAAAATCACATTAATTATTAGGCCTACCCCCAACCCTCCCCCCCCCCCCCCCAGACTAAATCATACTCATCAAGACCAATAATGTTATGAAATTGTCATTATCTTACATTATTAAAATAACCAGAGATAAAGATAATTTCAAAGATGTTGAAAATTTTTTTAAGCAATAAAAATAACAAAATTATAGTTCTGATGAAATAAGCCGACTCATGCCTGGAATAAAAGATTGTGTATCTGTTAAAGGCGAGAAAGAATCAGCAAAGGTTTATATTAAATAATCTTAAAGAAATATTCAAGATGTTTAAGGAAGAATACCCAAGTATATCAATTGGATTCCCTAAATTTGTCGAACTTAGACCAAAAAACTGAATTTTAGTTGGATGGCACACACACTGTTTGTGTCTGCGCCATTCATCAGAATGTGAAATTAATGACAAATGTAATAGCTGAAATTACAGCAGGAGAAGATTACTGTATAAATTCTTATAACAATCTTTTGGCGCAAATTATTTGTAATCCATCTCAGCCAAAATGTTATTTAACAAATTGTGATCAATGCCCTTGTATAGAATCTCTTATGGGCCAATTATACCAATTGTTTCAGAGAAATCGTTTAGAATATGTCACGTTTAAACAATGGATCACGGTGGATAGAGCAAATCTTGAAACTATTATAAAGTCCATTGATGGTTTCATCGAATTCACTCGTTTATAGCTAAACACAAAGTTTATTTTTGAAGAATTCCAAAGAAAATTTAAAAGATGAGGAATTTTTAACAATTCTAGATTATTCTGAAAATTATTCCCTTATTTTACAAGATGAAGTTCAGGAATTTCATTGGAACAATGTGCAGGCCACTATACATCCATTTGTAGCATATTATAAATCTGGAGAAGAATTAAAAAATATAAATTTTGTTATTTTGTCCGAATCATTAAGCCATAATACTAGTGCAGTCCAACTTTATCAAAAAAAATTCATTAAATTCTTAACAGCCAAATTTAATTCTAAACCAGAAAAAATAATATATTTTTCGGATGAAGCAGCGTCTCAATACAAGAATCGCAAAAATTTTCTGAACATATGCCTTCATAAATACGATTTTAATATTCCTGCCGAATGGCATTTCTTTGTCACTGCTCACGGCAAAAATGCATGTGACGGTATCGGAGGAACTGTCAAAAGATTAGTTGCCAGAGCTAGTCTTCAAAGGCCAAATAAAAATCAAATCCTAACCCCATTAGAATTATATAATTATGCTAAAGAAAATATTAATATTCAATTTGAATATGTATCCAATCAAGAATATATCGAAGAGGAATTAGCCCTTCGTAAAAGATTTAATTCTGCACTGCCCATACATGGGACCCAAAAAATTCACGGGATTATTCCCATTGATCAAAATAAACTAAAAACCAAAATATATTCTAATTCCAAAAAATATAATATAAAACAAGTTCCGTTTTTAAATGAGAAAATTATATTTTAAAATATTAATGGATATATAACATGCATATATGATGATAAATGGTGGTTAGGATATATAATCGATAAAATTTATACAAATGAAGAAGTAAAAATCCGATTTTTACACCCTCGTGGACCTTCAGCCTCATTTAAATTTCCTTTGAAAGATAATATTTTAGTGTTGCCTAAATCTCATATTCTCTCGCTGGTCAATCCTTCTACTCCCACCAGTCGAACATATATATTATCTCCTGAAGAATCTCACAAGCTAGCCAGGCTTTGTATTCCTTTAGATAAAGTAAGATTTAATTAATTTATAAACTATCTTAATTAGGTAAAATTTGTGAAGATTTTAAAAATTTATGATCTGAATTACAAATAAATATATATAATGCACATTGTAATCGATTTAGTATGATATATATACATTAAAATATTTTTAATCAATAAAAAAAATGTATTTTAACATATTAAAACTATTATATATAGCGCCATCTATTTTTTAAAAGTATAAAAATCGCAATATTTTTTTAAATAAATATCCAGCCATACTAATTGTTGAAGAAATTATTAAAAAATAGTAAACGGATAATATTTCTTAAAAAAATTAAAAATCGGAGATCATATACATTTCGAAATAAATTATAAATTATTAACTTAGCTATTGATATTAGATTCAATATTTGATCATATTTAGTTTTAAATTAAAAACTAATTATTTAATATCAGTAAAAAGCAAAAAAAGACGTTTTTTGGGCCTTTAACCCCGAATATCTCCGCTAATATAGTTTCTAATGCGCTAAAATTTTGTTTATAATCTAATGGGAACATATATAACCAGCCTACGAATTTTTATCGAAATCGAAAGGGGTCGGCCGAAAAGTGATTGATTTGACATGGAATGACCCTATTTTAATTCTAGATTAAATAGGTGTCTTATTCAATTTTCTCATTTTGTAAATTGCAAAAATTTTTAGGCCCGGCCATACCTCCCATATTCTAAGAGTGAGGTGGGATTTTTAATGACTAAAGGATAAAAAGCGGGAAAGTGCGACAACTGCAATCCTTT